TAGATACTATGATATAAGATGTTTTTCATGATGCTTTCTTTTCAAAATCTGATGTTCTGAATAATTTCATTGCTTAATACATGAAAATCATCATACTGAGTGAATTTAGAACTCCAATAAATCTAATGACTTCTTGTGAATGTTTGATTTTTTATTACAGTATGTTTAAAAGACTGTAAGAAGGGACAAATTTAACATTAATATATACAAGAACCACAAAGTGCAGGATTTATCACTATAGAATTTCAAATTTTAATGTCACACTTAAAGTTTACAGTTGTGACAAAAGTTGTTTAGTATGGATAGAAGGACTCTCTAACTTGCACAGGGTCAGTATTACTCAAGGGTCCCGCATCTTCATACTGCAAATGCATTGTAAGTTGCATAACAAAGAACATTTCATCATTATGTGATACTTCAATAATGTTCTGCGAAAAAAAAAAAATCTGAAATTCGTGCATTGATGGCACATAATAATGGTACAGAATTATTACATGAAAATGAAGCAAGTAGCTTACATAACCCTACTGTAATTCAAGTTTCCTGAGGTAAAGGTGTGTATTTCTTCCTTCATTATTTTGGTTTTACTCAGTTCAGAGACTTGTTTCATGATACTCAGGTGACCTATAAGGCCCATGGGCCTCTTGTTTGTAATACAGAAATATTTTATTTCAATATTTAAAGCATATTCCACATGAAGAAAATAAAATAAGCTTCTAAAGGTACCTATCTGGCAGGACTGCAATTACTTTTGTTGATTCTGTTTGAAATCCGAGAGTCTCATAAATGTCCTCCTGGATCTTTCTTGTTGCTGTTGCAGTTAGAACAAGGGTGCTGGTGTTTATTATGCTTTGTAAACTGCAAACCTGTCTATACGCTGGTCTGAAGTCCAGTCCCCTAAAAGAAGTTGATTGACATTTAACAAGTTCAATGACATATACTGCATCAAGATGAAATTACGATGATGTTAATAGTGTTTATCTCATTTTTAGTCCTTATAAACATAAAAAGCAATGCATAACAATTAATATGGATAAATGTTGATAAACTCAATTACCATGATGAAATACAATGTGCCTCATCAAACACTAGCACACAGACTTTTGGCTTTAGGTTATCCCTCAGGACCTTTCTCCATCTCTGGTGTATTGCTGCCTCTGGTGATGCATAAATGACACTATAATGCTTGTCCATGACGTCTGTTTAGGCAAAATAATAAGAAATTAAAAATGTAACATGTGTAAACTCTGTTTATCTGAAACAAGTCAGTGTTCACAGTCCCATTAGAGTTGTGATACTTTTCTGCTCATACCTAAATCCACAGACTTACTCTAGCTAGGACCTTTATTAAGTGCATTAATTTTATACTAGGATTATTGCTTAATTTAGTAAATTAATTTTGATTAAAACACATGACTTCATTAAATGATTAGGGGCCCCTTAAAAATCCTCATTATCCCCATCTGGATTTACACATATTTTTTTCTATCTTAGATATTTTTTTATTTTGAGGAAGGGGCTTAAATTTTTTTTTTAATATGGACACACCACATATGGTACAATCATAATCACCTTGGTTTTTAGTGTCATCCATCAACGCAACTGCACTCACGTTGTGCTGCTCCAGGAATTCAACCTGGTCCCTCATCAGCGCTTTCAAAGGAGATATTACTAAGGCTGTGTGTCTTGGCGCACCTCCCATTAGCTAAAACATTTATAATCTGTTATTTACGTGTAAACACTCCGAAATAAAATAAAAATAAAAACACCGAAAAATAATCAGCGAGACGCCCGCTTTGACTTACCTCGTCAGCAATCAACGGTACCAAAATGTAAGTCATGGATTTACCAAATCCTGTTGGCAGCAAAGCGAATACATCTTTCTTCTTTAAAATATTAAATATAATATTTTTCTGCTCCTCCTTCAACTTAATATCAAACTTAAACCTTTCCAATGTTGACAAAAGCGCTTTCTCCTCTGCAGACTCCATACTCGTGCGTAGATGTCAACACTACCATATATGGGCATATGCAAATAAGCTGTTAAAATTGACAGCCGGAAGTTCAGCTTCAGTACAGCAAATATGGCGGACAATATGAATCGAGAAACTGGAGTATTTTTGTAATTGTTGAAAACAGTAGGATAGAGCCTAATGTATGGCAAGTTGTAGATTGTACAGTGAAAGGTAGAGTAAGAAACATAAAATACGATTTTTGTTTATGGATTTAAAGTCGGTAAATAGTAAGAATACCCTGAAATGTTGCGGGAGCGAATCATTCCCGCATTTGCACCATTACGGAGATCCTAAGGAGTTGTAGCCCTCTCCCAAAAAAAAAAAAAAAATAAAAAAAAAAATAACAAATCGGAGAGGGCTACATTATTGCAGCTACTGGTACATGTACAGTGTAGTTATAAACACTAAAATGATATATGAATACTCTCTATCAAAGAATATGTATTTTCTGGAAAAAAAATCACGCAATTCCGCTCTGATTTTTTTCTCTCTCTCAGATATATAGGAATTCTTTGGGAGGGTATTTCATAGGAATTTCATGTTACGGTCTTAAATCTTGAACAATGTACAGAAGAATATGATTCTTTCATTTCAGCTGCAAATGTTGCGACGCATATAAAGTCCTTTAAACTTCAAAATATATCCAAATTAAAGGTTCAAGTTATATATATCAAACTTCTTTCATACATAATGAGAAAAAATGTATATAGAATGATAAGATAGGCCTAACTTTTATTAACAGAAGAAAAATCCCCAAACTGGCCAAAGATACTAATCTCCCGAGAGCCATCTCCTCTGTTCAATGGAGGAAGTAAGTTCAAAACAATTTCAAAGCAAAGGGGCTGAGGCATGAAAATGTCAACAAAATTGAGTGAATACAGGAAATGTTAGATTTTTTTTCACAATTGGTGGGATTTTTTTTTAAAAACTTGTTGATGTAAAAGGACTTCAGTAACAATTAAAATTGATAGTCTTTCTCGACGCTATCAGACCATATAGTTTAGGTATTGCGCATTTCCAAAAAGTATGCATCGTTCTGCACACTCGTCTGATGAAACTTATTGTTCCCCGCTTTCACTGAAAGTGGGGTGTATATATGTTGGGATGGCTCTGTCTGTCAGTCCGCCTGTTTTTCAGTACATGTATCACTTTCGTTTCAACACAAAATCTCAAAGCCTTTGAGCTTTTGCAATGAAATTTTACACAAAAATATCCCTATGGCTGAAGGAAGACCCCTATTGATTTTGAGGTCAACGGCTAAGGTCATAGTACACCGGTATCTAATTTAACACTTTCATTCCGCGCGATAACTCGAAAAGCCTTTAATTTTTGCAATGAACTTTGTAGTAGTTCCATAGCACTCTCAAATTTCCTAATATGGCAGGAGACGATAATACAAGTTCCAAAATCATTTCACAATATGGTTTGTCACCTGCCATAGTTGTAGTAGTATGCGCTATACATTGTTCATGTATATTACATTTTATTTCGCATTTTGCGCATTTGAAGTCAAAAAGCGAAAATGGACGAATGTGATGCAATGAGCATGGATCTCGATTTTCTTGAAATGCCGCAAAATTTTGAATGGGGCAATTCTATCGATGATCAAACTCTCCCACAGATAGGCCAGTTGATAGAAGACGAAGTTAACGTGTTTGATGGTATTGGGGATTTATGTCTTACTCAAGCGAATGTTCATTTGAGAATGTTATACAGCCCGTTCTGACGATCGATGTGGGACGTTATATGATGACGATGACATGGAAACCCTTCTAAAGTCTACCGAAAGTAAAAACACAGGAAGAAACACAAGTTGGAGTGTGAAAACTTTTAAAGAATAGCGATTTGCGTGTTTATTAGGTACCGGAAGTGAAATTCCTGAATTTGAGAATTTAACCGAACCTGCACTCATTAACAATTAGTAGCTAGAGGTAAATTTGTGGAAGCTCGCAGAAAGATGGCCAGCCATATCCCCCAAAATTACTGTACGTGTTATGTGTGGGAATGCTAAGGTACTTTCGGAATATGTCGACAATTTTCTTGCAAGTTTTTAAATGGATAGTAAATTAACAATTTGTCATTTCTGGTTGAAAAATATCGACCTAATTCTTTTTTTTTTTTTTTTTTTTGCCAATATATTATGTACACATGTGTAAGTACTTGGCACATTATTAAAGATTGAAAATAAAGTTTTGTTTTGTATGCAATTCAAGGCTCCGCCTATAGATTATAAGCTCCGCCCATGGGTTATGGTGTAGATAAGGCACAGATAAAACAATGGAAAAAATGACGAACTACTGGTACATTATGCCAACCTTCCTATGGCCTAAGAAAGAACCCTTTTTATTCTGAAGTCTTAGGTCAAGGTCGTAAATTCATACATCCTGAGTGTATGTGTGTTAAACTTTCATTTCTCAGCGATATCTCAAAAACTATTGAAGTTTTGAAATTAAAATTTTTACCCATCTTAAAACATACTTAATATAAGAATCTCTGTCTCCCGTTTGAGAAAAAGAACACGCACGTATCGGGGGGGGAGGAGGGGTTGAGGGGCCAATTTGAGTAGGATGATCATGAGCGTTACCCAGTTATGGTTTTAAAAAAAATTAAGTGTTAAGACAGAAATACAAACGGACAGACTTAAGAAATCACCCGAAGATGAAAGATTTGCAAGCAAAGAATGCATGATATAAGGACCTTGGATCTTCTGACCTCAAAATAAATAGGGGTCTTTCTTAGACTATAGGTATGACTGATGTACATTGTTTAACGGCCCTCTCGAGAATCTTTCACTCATATGGAGACGCCACCAATTGCCGGTGGAGAGCTGCAAATTTGTCTATACTCGGCACTCAGGGCCGTTGAGAAGTGAGGGATCTTTTTCGTTCCAGCACCTAATGCGACACGGGACCTCGATTTATACGGTCTCATCCGAAGGACCGGTCTCCACGTCCCACAGTGATATTTGAACCCACAACGTAAATCATAATTCCTTAAACTTCCGTGACTCTAGAGCAGACGACTATAGGTAAGAAAAACTATGTTTTTTGAAACACAATTCTGGAGTGGGACGTAGACGGAAACTATACATACACTTGTAAGATATAAATAGTCGTGGCCAATGTTAAAGTGTTTCAAATGTAGGTCAAATGTCACAGTTGAGGTCACATGATCAAACTGTACCGAGGACAAACACAATATACCCCCGGGATCTTTCGATTCGTGGGCATAATAATAATCAAACGGTTCACTTACGGACATATATTGAGATGTCCAATTCCACTTTGAAACACTTAACCAATTTCAACTTTTAATGACCCACTACGATGTAACTTAATACATATTAAATATCCTCATCTTATTAAATACATGTATATACTGAGATTTTAAAGATTCTTCGGAATATTTCATTTAATCCATTCATGCCATTGACCGTGTGGCGCAGTGGTAAGAGCGTCTGCGGAAGAGTCGCGGAGTAAGGAGTTGATTCTTAAGTTGCATGTTCCAATCCCCATGCACTGTGTGACGTGGAGACCGGTCTTTCGGATGGAACCGTATAAACCGAGGTCCAGTGTGGTATATGGTAGAGGCATGAAAAGGAGCGCCGAAAATAGGACAAAATTTGAAGCTATTCAGTAGTAAGTGGTGGCGCCTCCAATATAAGTGAAAAATTCTCAAAAAGGATGTTAAACAGCACACAAACAAAACAAAAGAAACTAATATGTATCAATTTTCAGCTCTACTGGTCAGAAGACCAGAAGAGCTTATACGATAGTAATGCGTCCGGCGTCCGTCCGTCTGTCTGTAAACAATTTTTCAAAATGCTACTCCTCCTACAGTTTTGGTCTGATTTCAATATAACTTGGCACACAAGTAGACTACACTAAGATACATAATTCTGTGTATCGGTTTTTGATTTCGATGAACGGTGTTGCCATGGTTACTAAAAATAGAAATTTCTGGAAAATTCTTTCAAAATGCTACTCCTCTTACAGTTTTGGTCTGTTTTCAATATAACTTGGCACACAAGTAGACTACACTAAGATACATAATTCTGTATATTGGTTTTTGATTTCGATGAACGGTGTTGCCGTGGTTACTAAAAATTTCTGTAAAATTCTTTCAAAATGCTACGTCTCCTACAGGTTTGGTCTGATTTCAATATAACTTGGCACACAAGTAGACTACACTAAGATACATAATTCTCTGTATCAGTTTTTGATTTCGATTAACGGTGTTAGCATTGTTACTAAAAATAGAAATTCCTGTAAAAATTCTTTCAAAATGCTACTCCTCTTACAGTTTTGGTCTGTTTTCAATATAACTTGGCACACAATTAGACTACACTAAGATACATAATTCTGTATATCAGTTTTTGATTTCGATGAACGGTGTTGAAGTGGTTAGTAAAAATATAAATTTCTGTAAAATTCTTTCAAAATGCTAGTCCTCTTACAGTTTTGGTCTGTTTTCAATATAACTTGGCACACAAGTAGACTACACTAAGATACATAATTCTGTGTATCGGTTTTTGATTTCAATGAACGGTGTTGCTGTGGTTACTAAAAATAGAAATTTCTGGAAAATTCTTTCAAAATGCTACGTCTCCTACAGTTTTGGTCTGATTTCAATATAACTTGGCGCACAAGTCGACTACACTAAGATACATAATTCTCTGTATCAGTTTTTGATTTCGATGAACGGTGTTAGCATTGTTACTAGGGCTGGGCAATAATATCGATATTTCAATATATTGCAATACAATGACAAAAAATATCGTATCGCAATACGATTTTGTAATATCGATATATTGGCAATATACATACATGTAGATTAAGGAATTTTGTCATTAAATATAAAAATGGACTTATAAAAGTTTGTTATTAAGCCAAACAGTAAGTCAGAAGTTGTTTTGTGGTAAAATTTCAGAGCATAACTTAAATGAAATCAAAAAGATTTTTTTCCGTGTTGGTTAC